CCGGCAAAGGGGGTGGAGGAGCGGCGGAGCCGGAGTTGTGCTTCCTCCTCCACAGCAGGGGGCGCTGTGCCCGTTGAGCTCTTTATGCAGAGTCGATGCCCAATCCGGCTGCAGCCATATGAGCATGTGCAGGGGGGTCCAGACCCAGCTGGGGAAGGCAATCAAAGCCCCACCCCTTCTAACCAAAGCCACGCCCCTTCCCCAGACCTTGCCCCTTCAGAACCATCCTCTACCCCGGCCAAGCCCCACTCAAACCCAGCTGCTGGGGAGCCACACGGTACGGCCCCAACCCCTCCCGGGTGCCTGAGCCGTGTAGGCAATTTTGGGAAGGTAATGCCTTCCCTTGCCTACGTTACTTGCCACCCAGGGATGCGAATGACTGATCCTAGGGCGTGCAATTGTCAACCCAGCGTAAAACCCAACCCCCACGCAGCCGGGAAGTGAGCATTTACATGGGTGCGACAGAACCCCCGGGGATGGATTCCACACTCCTCCCCAGGAATCCGAATGCCTCTCACCTTCAGACGCCCTGAGACAACCACTGTTTTCCCCATCCCCACGCCTCAAAAAACCCACTGGGGCCCTCGAACAAAGGGGATTCTCCCCACCGTCTCGGCGTTGCAACAGCTCCCTCCCCAACCCGGGAGGGCCAGATACAAATCGGGAGGGGAAGGGGAGGGCACACGTCTGTGTTATTCCCAAAGTGCACTGAGGGGTCGTGCCAGTGAAGTGCAGCGCGAGATATCCCTCCAGCGCTGCGATTAAATGCTGGAACCAGAAGCCTAACGGAGCCAGACTGGAAAGACGGTGGACATTTTTGACAGCGTTATCATCCATTGGAACAACTTGTCCTGGGGGACTCTCCATCACGGACAACCGGACAGTCAAAACGGGATGGTTTTCTAAGAGACCTGCTCGAGGGATTATTTTAGGGACAATCTTTGGCCTCTGTGACACAGGAGGTCAGAGGATCACAAGGGCCCTTTTGGCCCCCGACTCACTGGAAGAGTGAGATTTAGTTTTCAAGCTCTGATCTTCCCTCCACCGCAGCCAACTAGACGTGCCTAGGACTAGCCAGCTCCCGACACTGGCCCAATGTTTAGGGGCAGCTCTGGGGTGATGGACTGAGCGCACCTCGGGGAGTGGGGGGTAGGGGGGCTCTCCCCCAACTCCCTGCAGGACCCTGAACGCCCCAGAGGTGTCTAGAGATAAAAATAGCCGGGGGCTGACATTTTCAAAAGCAGCATCGAGGGACGTGCCTGGATTTCTGGGACCCATGGAGATGGAGTCTCATCAGTGCAGAGTGTCTACAGCTCCAAGTAAGTCACAGAGAGCTCCAGGCACTCAGCACTTGGGGGAAGCCCGGTCTGTAGTGATGCAAAATACAGGCAACCGATGGCCACTTTTGAAAGTCTGGGCCGTAGAGAAAACCCCAGCCTGTGGGACCCACTGTCAGGCACCTCCCACCACCACTGTGCCCCCTTTAAAAGCCAGACTGAAGTCACCCCTTCCTCTCTTCCACAATGGTCTCTCCCAGGAAGCCGGCTTCAGCCATCTGCCTGAGCCAGAGGGGTTGGTGCTCACAATATATCCAGCCCCCGGATTTAAAGTGAAATCCGTCAGTCCTGCCGCTCCACCCCCCCGACACCCTGCAGCCACAGAGCTGGGGCTGCGCTGTGCTTGAGAACGGCACCGCCCCCATCCGTGCCATCCCACAAGAGGCGGGACAGGAGGGCCTGCGAGGCAGGGGGGAGGAATCGCCCCATAAAACCAGCAAGAACGTCATCCCTGCGGCCTTTCTCCAAGGGCATGGAAACGCCGTGGGATGATAGCGCCCGGCTGGAGGAGAGCTGCCTCAGAGCCATGGCGCGCCTAATCCGACCCAGCACCAGTGGAAAGCGACCAATAAGCAGCTTGCCGAGATGGGTGGGGTGTGGGAACTGGAACCAGGTTCCTGGAAAGAAGGCTCCTCTAGCCATGGCTCAACAAGGAGCCAACTTCCCTGGCGCTAGTGATCAAAGGATGCTGCCCGCTACCGGTGCTAAATCAGAAATCCACGGCAGCCCAGCTCCACAGGTGCCAATCTGGAGTAGCTGGAGAGCACAGGGTTGTAAGACAGTCAGCAGCCCCTTCCCTGACTGCAGAGTCCAGGCCAGAATTTAGGGAGACCCCATGTGATTAGCGAGCACAGGCTGGGTTTAGTTTCTGGTGCTGGGCGCCAGAGAAAACCGCTGGGTTTTGTCCATGGTCAGTGGCCTCAATACAGCCGAGCCCAGCCTCTTCCCCAGCCCATAGGCCAGCACAGTGGTCATCCGGTAGGGGGAGGGGCGGTTCCTGACTGCAGAGTCCAGGCCAGAATTTAGGGAGACCCCATGTGATTAGCGAGCACAGGCTGGGTTTAGTTTCTGGTGCTGGGCGCCAGAGAAAACCGCTGGGTTTTGTCCATGGTCAGTGGCCTCAATACAGCCGAGCCCAGCCTCTTCCCCAGCCCATAGGCCAGCACAGTGGTCATCCGGTAGGGGGAGGGGCGGTTTAACCTCTCAGCACCCCCCCACCCCCATCAGTCATCAATGTTCTCTATAATTTTTCCCACCCAAGTGCGGAATAAATTAATTGTCATGTGGCACGTGCGGATGTGCACTGCCAGTGGAAACACACATGGCCAGCAGTGAATTGTTCCTGGGCGGCTGCCCAAGCGCTCAGCTTCTGGGGAACACAGTCAGCCACCCTGACCAGGTGGCCCACGGAGGCTGCTTTCCACAGGACTACAACATGGCTAAGGTGAGTCCCTGCCAGGCCTTGAACTAACTGAGAACGTCACGCCACGTTTCCAAGAGGGGTGTTCTCATTTCGGATCTCCGCAGGAAGCACCCCCACAGCAAACCCACTCGCTAGCGCAGAGCTCTGTGTAGGCATCAGCTGGCCACGGGAAAGGGGGTGGGGTGTGCGCCACTAGACCAGAAGCTCCCTTATCTTTCCTGCTGCAGTACTCCCGGCCCAGCGGCCACATGCAGAACCCAAACCAAGACCCCCATGGGTGGTAACACCTGGCGCTGTCCCTAGACCATCGTGCTGGCCCTAGATATTTCTCCCTCCCTAGGATGTACGTATAGCTCTCTCAAACAGCACATCTTAAGCAGGGCTAGTAAATACGCCGCCGTGAAGGTCTTCTGTCCACATAGCACTGAGAGGACTTCACAAGGCCATAGCATTTCTGGGGGGCCCCCCATCTCTCTCCAAGGCTCCTTCCCCGAGACGCCTGGAGGGACCCGTCCCAGCAGAGAGAGGCGAACC